TCTACGTTTCCGTGATCTCATTTCGGTGAGGTCACGGGTTCGATTCCTCACTGGGACATGATTCTTGCCTGCGTTTCCAGCGTCAGGCTTACCATCAGGATGCGCGACAAGCCGGCTGGCACACCTCTTCGCATCAGAGTAAATGTCCAATAAAGTATATCGAGTAAAAGCTAGGGCGTCCCCCGGAAGCGACGCGCACTCGAGCCCGACGGGTGCGAATAGTGGGCTAAGGTCACCGTCTTACAAAGAGCGGTGACGGGTAAGAAAGCTAGCTCTTCGAAGGCAATTATTCGAAAACTCAGAAGCACTCCGATTAGCTACCATCAATCTTGGAACTCACTGGACGACATCGAGAATTGGCGGATTTCCTGAGAAGACGGGAGTGGATATAGCCTGCACACAGGAAACCAAATGGAAGGGTAGAAAGTCTCGCGATATCGGAGATGACTATAAGCATATTTACAATGACACAAGCAGCAGTCGCATTGAAGTAGGTATAACTGTCTCAGAAAGCCTAAGAAGCAGGATTGCAGCAGTCGACCGATTAAGTGATCGACTTATGAGCATAAAGATTGACACTGGTAGAAAATCCTTTCGAATTGTCACCGCCTACGCTCCGCAAACCGGATGCAAGGACGAAGAAAAGAATATGTTCTGGCAGGAGCTTGACGATTTCACATCCATACACAGGATGAGATACTCCTGCTTGGAGCAGAACGGTCATATAGGGGAGAAAAGAAATGGTGCGGGAGTGTCAAGGGGATCACGGATACAGCACATGCAAGGCGAACGCATTCTAGAGTTCGCCACAGCGTACCACCTAGCATTAGTCAACACGTACTACATCAAAAAGCATGAACACATGATTACGTATTCAAGTGGAGACCGTCTAACACAAATTGACTACTGGGCAGTGCGTTACAATAACCTAAAGAACATAAAGTATTGCAAAGTTATCCCGAGTGAAAGCTGCATACCTCAGCATAAGCCACTACCTCTAAAAATTCCGTTGAACGACAAAGAAAACCCATGACTAACAACAAAGCACGAATCAAGTGG